ATGATAAACCATGGTTTACTGGGAAACTCAAACACCTTCGTCATGCCAAAGAGGATGCCTACAGAAGTGGGGATAAAATCTTGTATAACCAGGCCAGAAACAGACTGACAAAGGAGATCAGAGTTGCTAAAAGAAGCTACTCTGATAAACTGAAAAAACAGTTTTCAGCCAACGACCCATCATCAGTCTGGAATGGCCTGAGGAACATCACCAACTACAAGTCACCATCCCCCCGATCTGTGGACAATCAACACCTGGCTGATGATTTAAACTCATTTTATTGCAGGTTTGAAAAGCCCTCATTCACACCACACACCCGGTCTGATCTGCACTTCACACATTCACCATCACCTCCTGCACTCCCATTACTCCCCCCTCCTGTCATCCAACCTGAGCTTAAGGTCTGTGTGGAGGACGTGAGCAGAGTCTTCAAAAAACAGAAGACTAGGAAAGCCTCAGGCCCAGACGGCATCTCATCTGCTTGTTTAAAAGCCTGCGCTGGCCAACTGGCCCCGGTCTTCACGCAGATCTTCAATAGATCATTGGAGCAGTCTGAAGTTCCCTGCTGCTTCAAACGCTCCACTATCATTCCTGTCCCCAAAAAACCCAAAATCACTGGACTTAATGACTACAGACCTGTCGCTCTCACGTCTGTGGTCATGAAGTCGTTTGAAAGACTGGTGCTGGCCCACCTGAAGGACATCACTGGACCCCTGCTGGATCCCTTTCAGTTTGCTTACAGAGCAAACAGGTCTGTGGATGATGCAGTCAACATGGGACTGCATTATATCCTGCAACATCTCGACAGACCTGGGACTTATGCAAGGATCCTCTTTGTGGACTTCAGTTCGGCCTTCAATACCATCATGCCTGATCTTCTCACAGCCAAACTGACCCAGCTCTCCATACCATCCTCGATCTGTCAGTGGATCACCAGCTTCCTGACGGACCGGCAGCAGCGAGTGAGACTGGGGAAACTCACATCCAGGACTCTCACCACCAGCACTGGCGCTCCCCAAGGGTGCGTTCTCTCCCCACTGCTCTTCTCCCTGTACACTAATGACTGCACTTCTAAAGACCCGACTGTCAAGCTCCTGAAATTTGCCGACGACACCACTGTCATCGGTCTCATCCGAAACGGTGACGAGTCTGCTTACAGACTGGAGGTTGAACAGCTGGCTGTCTGGTGCAGTTATAACAACCTTGAGCTGAACACGCTCAAAACAGTGGAGATGATCGTGGACTTCAGGAGGAACAGCCCAGCACTCCCCCCACTCACCATCATGAACAGCACTGTGGAAGCAGTGGAGTCATTCAGGTTCCTGGGCACTATCATCTCTCAGGACCTGAAGTGGGACAATCACATTGACTCCATTGTGAAAAAGGCCCAGCAGAGACTGTACTTCCTTCGCCAGCTGAGGAAGTTCAACTTGCCACAGGAGCTGCTGATTCAGTTCTACTCAGCCGTCATTGAGTCTGTCTTATGCACTTCCATCACTGTCTGGTTTGGTTCAGCTACCAAATCAGACATCAGGAGACTACAACGGACAGTCCGGACTGCGGAGAGGATTATTGGTGCCCCCCTGCCAAACCTCCAGGACCTGTACTCTTCCAGAGTGAGGAAGAGAGCAGGTAAAATCATCACAGACTCCACTCACCCTGGACACCACCTATTTGAACTGTTACCGTCAAGACGGCGACTCAGATCACTGGCCACTAGAACATCTCGGCACAGGAACAGTTTCTTCCCACAGGCCATATCCCTCCTGAACAGTTAACACACCTCCCAAGGCATATGCTTTAAGTGCAATACTCCCACTGTTTAGTGCAATATCCTACAACTCAGGTGATACTTATATGTAGATTTATTTATTCATAATATTCAAAACACTGTAATATATGTGATACTTGTGACAACTGTGATACTTTTATTCTCATATATTTATATTTATATTTTTTATTCTTAGAATTTGTAGTATTATGTTTCTTGTTGTATTTGTATTTGTATATGTCCACTGGAAGCCTCAGTACCAAAACAAATTCCTTGTGTGTGCAAGCACACTTGGCAATAAAGCTCTTTCTGATTCTGATTCTGATTCTGATTTCTGGAGCAAATATATAGGCTGTAATTGTGTTTACATAGCTTTTTAAAAAATGGCGTGTTCTGGTGTTTTGCGTGCGTTCGGCCAATCAGCAAACACTAACGTCACGGATAGTTCCTATAGCGCTGGTTTAGACCGACTCTGGAGTAGGAGTAAATAAGTTCCTCCAAAAGCAGTTCCTAGAGCTAAAATCGTTCCTAGTTCCTGCGGTGCGAACACCCCTAATGAAGCTAATGCATTCACACTGAGCCATGGCCAAGCACACTAGAGTTGGCTACTATCTAGGGCTTTTTGTTGGCACTGTGCTGTCAGTCCAGTTTGGTTTTGTTTAGCCTTTTTGCTGCTTTAGGAACAAGCTTATGAAATGCTGTAACCCGACATAAGAGCTCGACTGGGCCTTTAGACCACTTTAAATCCACAGAAATACAGAATTTACACCCTTTAGCTCAAGCCGTGTGTGTGTGTGTCTCTGCTGTAGCGGTTTGGTTGTATTTTCTCTCAGCTGGATATCTGGCCTCCCACAAACATCCATCTCTGGCTCATTCACTTCTCACATCTTACATGAGTTTCGGTGGCTTATGAGGTGTGAGTGTGTTTATTCAGTGTTATGGGGTTTGATGCTGCTGTCTGCTGACATTTTCACTTAAATATGTCCTAATACAGTCTTGATGTAGTTTCAGGCTCTACTAGAACAGGTTTTCCTGCTTGAATGTTGATTATTCTCCTCATATTCTCCATTGTTGCGGCTCCTCTCTTCCCAGTCTGTCAGTAACGCTCTGTTTACTTCCTGTCTCTATGAAGCCCCTCCTTCTGAAAAGCACACTGTGCTCTGATTGGTCGGCTGGATCAGTGTGTTGTGATTGGTTGAGCGCTTCGAGTGTGTTTGGGAATGTCCCGCCCCTTCCCATAACCGCCAGTTTAACACACTACTAACTAACTCAACCAGGCCCCGCCCCTTTATTCTGCGCATGAATTATTATAATGAGGAATATTGTGACGTGTTCGTTCCCGGGAGAAACTCAAGACTACAATGGAGGCGTTTCAGGAGTTCAGAAACACTGACACTGATATAGAGAATAACTGGAGCATTACACACTGAAGATGAAGATGAACACATGATAGGTCGTCCACACAAACACACAGACTTGTTTTCCTGGAGTGTAAGTCTCGTGTAGCCAGACTGTCTGCATAAATAAATACATTGTTTGATTGACATGTAAAGCAGCCATCCACCTTTTTTTTTTTTCTGTGCATTTAGGAGCGGGTTTATCTAAATTTGTTGCTACACAAAAGAAAGATTGGCATGAAAAAAACCCCATTCAAATGCACAGCAAAGTCGATCCGCGGCACAGATGCTGATGCTTCCCTCCGGATCGGATCCGCTTTTATTGCGGGAAGAAAATGCTAAGAGTGTATTTTCCTCACAGCTGGCCCGTGGTCTGGGAATGAGAACATGTGAAGGGATGAAAATATGATCTGCTTTTACTGTTTATAAATGTGCAGTAAAGGCAGCAGTCTACGTTTCTGTTTTATACGTTCATATTGTTCCTGTGTGTATCATACTTATCCTAACATTTACATTTTTGGGTAATAAATTACTCATTATTTATATATTAGAGTACTTGAGTACTAAATTAAATATACTCTACGGTACCGATCAAAAGTTTAGAATTAAGGATTCATTTAATTTTATAATTCATTGATTTTATTAAATTGCATTGCATTATTTTTTTTATTATTATTAATTAATTTATAGCATTGAATTTGCATTGCACTAATTTTATTATTAATTTTATAATTCATTCATTTTATTACATTGCATTAATTGTATTATTAATGAATTAATTTTATAATTGATTAATTGTATTACATTGCATTAATTTTATTATAAACAATTGTTTAATTAATTAATTTATTGCATTGCATTGCATTAATTTTATTTTTATTTAATTTGATTCTGCATTGGTTTTATTACATTGCATTAATTATATTTTTAATTAATTTGATACTTCATTGATTGTATTGCATTGCATTCATTTTATAATTGATTAATTGTATTACATTGCATTAATTGTATTATAAATAATTGTATAATTAATTAATTTATTGCATTGCATTCATTTTATTTTCAATTAATTTGATACTTCATTAATTTTATTGCATTACATTGCATTAATTTTATTAATTCATTTTCTAATTTTCTAATTGTATTAATTTGCATTTATTTTATTATTAATTCATTTTATAATTGATTAATTGTATTGCATTGCATTAATTTTATTTTTAATTAATTTGATACTTCATTGATTTTATTGCATTGCATTCCATTAATTTTTTTATTAATTAATTTCATAATTCATTAATGTTATTGCATTGCACACAGATCCGCTTCCTGTGCTCTATGATGAAACCTAACCAGATGAAAGCTGACGATTTCTGCCAACTCTTGTCTTTAATATGCATTAGACGTCATATTCCCTCTTTCACCTCAGCTGAAGGGAAGGTTCGGGAGCGAGTGGAGGATGAGATCTGATTGATGAGGACGACAAACTGCGCCACCCACTTTCGTCCTTCCATATTCCGAAGGAAATTCAAAAATATGCGCTTATTAGAGGTCAGCTCTTGCGTTTGTGTGTGTGACGTACAGGCGAATATGAGCTCGCTTCACCCACGTATGTCTCTCTCTCTCTTTGCAATGTAGAAGTTCTCCATCATGCTTTTGCAGCCTAATGAAGCACTTAATTAAATTGCGGATGAATTATTGTGATTAAGAGGAGAGTCGTTCATCAGAGTTTCTCTGAGCACATTGACCTGAAAGCGAGACGTTGGAGGTTTTCTGCAGATAACACTTTCCCACGGTAACATGCTGAGAGCTCGAGCTTAGGATTCAGATGCAACATGCAGCAGAAGCCGAGTCACACTCGAGATCCTGACCTGCTTTTCCCTGT